AGTTTGTAGCTTAATATTGTACATTCGTTTGCACGGGCCTTTAAATGCACAGGAAAACACAGGCGCATTTGACATGTGTATTACGCTTTTTAAGGCACGTGGAGAAACAAGCGTCTAAATTTGGAACCTAGTTTGCGGGCAAAACATAAGCGACTCACTCCTACTATATGTGTATAGGCAGCGTTTTCGAAAGCTAGAATAAAATCTCTTTTTTGGCGATGCTGATACCTCGAACTGCATTTTACGTAGAACGTAATAGACACGGTAGTATACGCATTTGTAAATAATTTAAAGGCACACTTTAACACTTGGGTGTCTTTGGAGTTTATTCAACACACACATATGTTATAATAAGGCATGTCACTCGGCACATAAAACATCTCCACGCCAAAATATAGTTTAATAACTTAGTCATACATGCGATGCTATCGTGAGAGAAGAAAAGAAAAGCTAAAAATTTCCGTTCAATTCATCTGCGATATATTAACTTCCCTATCATTTTCGGAGGTTGAGTTGTGTCATTTAATAAGACCAGGCAATTATTGGTAAAAATGGCCTCCTTAAAATTTTGGTATAACGAGAAAAAAAAATTCCTAAAATTGTTTAATGAAATGATGGGTTCTCGGTGTCCTGCAGACCTTTCGGGAGGACCCAATACGATCGCTAAATCTTTTGAATGGGACAAAAAATGGCCCAAATTACCATCGAGATGGCCAAAGTTCCCCTAAAACACCCGAACACAGGAAGCGTTTTCAGGGCAGCTCAGAAGTAGCACAGAAGAGTTCTTAGACATAACAAAACGATTTCAGACAGTTGAGAAGCATTTGGAAAGATCAATTATTGGGTGCTCATGATAAGGAGGGAATGGCTTTTACGAAGTGTTAAAAACATTTTCACTAAGTACAGCAATAAGAAAAGAAAACGCTATCTGTTCATATGCTTGGTAATATGCGAAAATCGTAGGAGCCACGAGGATAGCTGCTCGCAGACTTCTGTGTTTACATCCGAAAGGAAAAACAACGCAAGGGACAAAGTTGATGACTATGAAATACAGGGTAGTTTACAAAACATTATAGTTAACATCATAGTTGGTTCAGCGGTCTGTGAGAGAGACGGCGGCTACAACTTGCAGCCTGGCTTCACTAGCCCTTATGGTTATTCTAGGCGGTTAGTACTCTAAGATATTTTTTAACATACTCTTTGTGTAATATAGTCCTGAATAAAGTGCATGACAGCACAAATAAAAATTGTTGTTGTTGTTGTTTTCAGCCCAATATTTGCTTAGAGTGATTTTGTTGACAGGATGGTGGACATAGTGGCTTGGGCTGTAAGCCACAAACACTTCAAGTTCAAAAGCCATAGCGGTTAAATCTATGTTCTCATTCCTCTACTAACCAAATGCTTAATTTGTCAAGTTAGTCTATCTTTTGAAAGGTTTTCCTTCAATTACCTTAATACTAGGAGTAATCGGAGCTTAGGAGAGTGCGTTCGATATGTTTGCTAGGTGGACAGGTAGCAGTGGAGGGGAAACGGTGGATGGTTCTTGCGATAGATAACTATGATTATGGCATATTTTGAACGTAAGGGTTGCGTACAGCGAAACCTCGATTTAAACTGTGTATCATAATGAAAAGGTTTTGAAGGCTAGTGATCAGCGTGATATCGTATGGTTCGTCTCAAGTGCTTGTTATTTGAGGAGACACTGGCCAGAGTGCTTTGGGCGTCTAAAAAGAACTTTTTGTCTTACTGGCGCAATAGATGTTCTACTGGGCGCAGCTGTTCGAAGGCCGATCAACGCTTAACCCGGGTTTCTTTTCATTTGTTAAAAAACATTTCTTTGGATAATTTTCTCAGTTATTTTTAAGAGCGTCCAATCATCAACTTGTTGGCAAAATGAAGCCGGGTGGCGAGTTCGATTCTCGCCCGGGGTATGAAAGTTTCCTTTCTCCCAGGCGAGCATGGTTTCTCCTCCTTCCAAGTTGAAAATGTTCACTGGAAGTGTATGTGTGCTGCTCACTCGTGTATCATTAAAATTAATAAAATAAAAATAAAATTAATTTACGCAACCACGAGTTCGTGAGAAGAAAACAAAATGGCGGGTGAAAGGTAAGTGACGCCGACTGATTTTATGTTTCTTTTTATGATCCGAGTTGATTTTTTTATGATCCGAGTTGATCCGAGTCCAATTTTATTTTATTTTTTTATTCGATCCGAGCCCATCCGACCCGTACCTCGAAGGCAATTATTCCCTTTGGTTACACAATTACTATTTACCTCAAAATTGGCAGTCTTGTACGGATTGCAATTTTTCTTACACCATTGTTTTCAAATGTTGCCTATGTTCATAGTATAACATAGATAAAAGTCACTTTTCCGTGATCAAAATGCCATATTTTACAAAAAAAGTTTTGTTCCTTAGAAGACACAAAGCAATCAGCCTTTATTTTAAGTCACAATTCGACAAATGACCATTACAGATTCGGGGTTTGTCCATCAATGTAAGAAATGAGTTGATAATTTAACTTCACCATAATATACACACTTTTAACTCCAACACTCCACTTTCCAAAGGTTACCCGGCTTAGTAAGTAGGAATATTGGTAACAATCAAATCGCATCTGGAAACTGAAATAGATAATTCAGTTCAATTTTTTTTTTTTTTTTTTTTGGGGGGGGGGGGGGGGGGGAAAAATTTTTTTTGGGGGGGGGGGGGGGGGGGGAGACAAAATAGACAATTTTGAGTGTAGAAAAAAAAAAGAAAAAAAAACAAAAATTTTTAACAAACAAAAGAGAGTAAAAACCAACAAACACTTCAACAGGGAAAAGAGTGGGGAATAATATTTTTTTTGGGTAGGGGGGGGGGGTTGACATACAATTAGACATTATTGAGTGCTCAAAAAAAAAGCAAGAAAATCCATGAAATCTTTGCAAACAGACGATAAGGTAAACCACCTTAAAATTTAACCCTGGGTTAATACTAGCACTAAAGAACTGAACATCTTTAGGGCTTTGTAACATCTCTTGCATGTAACACAGGTTTGCTGCGGAAGAACAATACAGTGTTATCAGGAAAGAATATATACCTTCACAAGAAGAGAACGGTCGGTTGCAGCTACCACATGCAGGAAATACGTACGCTTCACTTTAATATTCAATTTATTAGACATCACTTTAGCTAGACTTTTATAATAAGCGAAACCTTATCTCTCCTCATTCTTACCTCATTCCGACGTTTTTGCCTTCTAAAAGAAACAAGTCTTGTTGAACAACTGTAAAAAAGGTGGTTTGCCCGGTGATTTACCGTTTAAAAAACCGACAACAACACGTACGCCATCTTTGCCAACTAGTTTTAAGAAGCACACTCGCACCCGGCCTCGCTCGTCAATGCTTTGCAACCCAAAATGGCGACGCATCTCACCAATTTTGAGAGTAGTTCTAAACCAATGTCCTGTCCAACTGAACAACGTCCTAACACATCTTTCCATCAAACACTACCTTCCATCTTCCAATCTCCATAACAATACTATTTAGATGCTATACAGTCTACAGAATCTAAGCTTCAGTCCATGTACGTATGTTAACTTCGCCACCCAAATTGCAGCCCTTCCCCTACAGTGTGTGTGTTATGACTGCATTTTTTTGCCCAGTCCCTAAAACGCAGGTTATCTTGTAGAAAACAAGACGAACAAAAGAATTTCTAAGTTCCCTGAATGAGATGCATTTGTCGACTCGTCAGTTTACTTTGTCGGGTGGACAACCACTTTCTCCACTCGTATGACTCGACTACCATTACACGGGGTCTCTTGCCAACATGACCAGCGACAAAATTCCTAAGTCTCCTTAATCAGATGCATTTGTCGACTCGACAGTTTACTCTGTCAGGTGGACAAGCACTTTCTCCACTCGTACGACTCGACTACTATTACAACCAAGCGCGGTAAATTCTCGCATGCTGCATGGGATGTTGTGCTAAACTCGAGTCACGAGACAATAGAAAATCCCAAAGCAAAAAATCATCCAAATCTATTACATCGCCCCAATATTTACTCAATTTTGGGCCTTCGTTAGGCAACCGTAAAATGTTTCAATGGACACGAAAATCGGGCATTTTATAGTACACTGATTAATTGCCGCACTGAATTTTTTTAAAGAAATCTATCGTCGAATTTTGGTTTAGCCACTGTTTTCGTGAAAGTAGTCTTAGAAATTACAAAAAGAGCTTAGCATTGCGTTTTACCCCGATTCACATGTTTTCGTATTTTTCGAAATCGCGCACATCTGCTTGCGTTTAGCCGATTGTAGAGTGTGTAAGGGTCATTTGCAAAACGAATGAGCGATAAAACCTTTCCGGAAACATCCAAAAAGTAGCAAATTTGTCTGCATATTAAAAGTTCAGTCTTCAGGTCATAAAGAATTTATACCCTTTTTTTTAGAAATTCCTAGATATCTCAAAATTCCTCTTATAGATTTCTGTGAAACTTCGCACAACGAAAGGCAAGCATTCAAAGTGTGCGCAGCGTAAAGCATTTTTAAAGTTCAGGTCGATAAGAGGTGAAATTCGATTTGAAGCTTAAAGTATTGTGACGTCAATGCTATGTGATATTTATTCCGATCGCCCAAAAAATAATATCATAATAAAATTTAGTCTATGTGTAAAACATAAGTTATAATGGTTTTACCAAAAAGATCAATTTGTTTAAATATAAGAGATTCAAAGATGGATGGTGTCGCTACAGAATTATTGTATCGAGCCACCCTGACTTACAGACCATCTCGGCCTTTAGTTTTTGACGTCGAGTTTCTAAATTGTCCCAGCCTAACTTTTTGATTAGTTGGTTGGCGTCCGCATCATAACTGGATTAAGTAAGGACGCGGGCCGCCCGATTTTGAAGTCTGTGTAATTTCTTAGAAGCCCTACCCGGTATGGTTTTTGCGCCGGCGCAAAAGCCATTCGGGTTTGTTGTTGTTAACCGCTGACAACAAAGAAACTCAAGATTCATACCTGGCGCATCAACGTCCGACACAATCAGTCGGTCCCAGATTAACACGGCCGTGTCCAGGCCACCAGTGGATACTAACACGCGGTCATCACTGGTCCACCGTACGTTGGTCACGTGGGAAGAGTGACCTCCATACTGACGTCCACGTGCACCTCGCTGTTTCGGAGACAAAAAAGGGCAGTTGTTACATATTACTGTTTTCTCGAAAGATGCTTCAAAGTGATCACAATAACAAGATAACCAAGAACGGACTGAAGTCAATAAACCGTAATTCGACATATTATTTCAAACTCACCGATACAGGGTACTCAAAGAGCTTCACAAAACCAAAGTCATCGCCGCTGGCCAGCAAGCTGCAGTCCTTAGTACGACAGGTGGCGTTAACGTCCGTGACGTCACTTCCTGGCGGGAACACACCTTTAACAGTTGGACCCAGAACACAAGTGAATGTGGACCACTGTAGCCTCTCAACATCCGGGACACTGATGGTTTTACGACTGCCTGTGGGCGCCTCGTAAAACAAATGCTCACGGGCGCCAGAGTTGGTTTGGATTAATTTACCTGTCCATTGAGAATTGAAAACACGTGGGGAGCAAGTTACAGTTACTACAGTGATACTGATTTCGCAAAAGCAGACCAACATTCTTTAGCTGAAGACGTGCACAGTAATAAAAGCAATTAAAAATTAACTTTGCTGACTTTGCACAGAAAAATGGAGACCTGGCCGGACATACCCTTTGTAACAAGAGAAAAATGCAAGGCTTGGTATACTAGATTTAGGGAAATACGCGAGCGCGCGTGACAATCGTCACTCGCAAGGATATCCAACACGCGAGGGACGAAAATAGCCTACGTTCGATATATTTAAATTCTAACATGACTCCCAGGCATTAGTGTGATGTTACGAGGGACGATTCGCACCGACGATTTTTAGCGCAACACAGCGTTGCAATGTTGGAACAATGTTGCAAGCATTCAAAACATTGTCGAAACAATGTTGCAACGCTGTGTTGTGCTAAAAATCGTCGTTGCGAATCGTTTCGTGTAAAATCATCTTTAGGGACAAAATTGCAAATTTTTCACGACTCCACTGTCTCGCAATTCCAGAAGAGACTTGAGCACAAAGAAAACCAAACTAAATATAGAAAGACGACCAGAAAGCATCGGACTCATATATCAAATGTGGGATATTCTCTCTTTCCTCTACGTACTGTCTCTCCTCGGGGTAGCCGGTACATTTTCACGCGCGCCCGCGTTCATCACCCGCAGTACTATCTGTGACGAAATGGAGGGACTACATGTACTCGATCGTGCTCTACGTCTTGATTGATTCAAACGACGTTAACCATGGATTCACGTAAGGGTCAGCTGAGTTTAGAGAATACGTACCCTTGGTGTCCCAGTCCAAATGTGTGATGTAACTTGAGCTTCCTTTACAGATTCCAGTTCTCTTACCCCGCCTCACACTATAGATGTCTACGAAATTATCATGAGAACCCACAGCCAAGAACTTTCCGTCTGTAGCAAGGTAAAACATATGCTGGTATTGAGAATGATGTCATATGTGAATTTATCCTCTTATTTTTAACCCATTACATATGATGCAAAAACATAAACAGATTTAGAAGTACTCCTTCTTGCTTCTACAAAGCCCAAGCTGGAGTGATTAGATTCTTTCCGCGAATGTATAATTAGCTGGTTTCATGATGGCCTTATTTACCAGTAATTACAACAACCAGAATCCTTGAGCGTTCTGTTTTCTGAAACCCATTCCAGTGTAAGTGGCAACACGATGGAATCCTGAGTGCAAATGTAGAAGTTCATGCAGGTTTTTGTACAATAGTATTGCCAACGTGACTGTTTACCGACACAAGAATTACTTGCAAATAAATGGTAATCATGTCTGGAGATGAAAAAAACGCTGATACACCACTCAGCATATTGTAGGAGTACGTCGGTAAACCTGATTCTAATTTGCAGTTTGTTAAACGAGATACTGCAATTAACAGACCTTGCAGTACACCATACTGCTAACTGTGACGTTTGACGTTTAGCGTATCTGGGACTCATTATATCAGCCACATATATACTACGCTAAACAGTCAACGTAAAATCCCTTACCATAATCGCTGGCAAACACATCCGCGAACGCTCCGCATAAATTCTATTTTGAGGCCAGATTACGAGGATTTTACATGTATTACTTGTCTGACTTTTCATTTTATCAGTTTAATAATTTCTAGTATATATACAGGACAATATACGGGGGCGCGAAGATATGAATTTTATTTTCGAGTGGTGAAAATAGAGAATATTACACGGTGGCGAGAAGATATGAATTTTATGTTCGAGTGGCAAGAACAATATCTCACGAGTGAGCGCAGCGAACGAGTGAGATATTGCTCTTGCCACGAGAACATAAAATTCATATCT